TAAACTTAAAGATTTACACTTAAGTACTTATGCCTTTGCCAAGGGTTCAATACCAAGCTTCTAGAGAATTTATATAAGTAACAATATATGTTTGATACCCACAGTATGGCTATCTTGATTTCTTTCCTGAGCTCATTAACAGGTTTTATTTTGACACTAAAGGAGCTTCAATTCAAAATCATTATTTTAAGGCTAAACCTAACAGAAATGTAATGTAAAGTTCTAATCTTATAGCCTAACCTATTGTAGACTGTTGAGGGATACAGGTTAAAAGTCATCTTATAAATGATCAAGCTCTTTAATTGTGGTCATGCTGGGCAGTTATGCAATCAAATTACAGGGATAAAGCCTTACCTAGCCCCCTGTGTACTTAAGTAACTAAAGACAACTCAGATATATCCCATAGACAGACAGTCCACAAATGCTCAGAGAGCTGCAGAATATAGCATTTAAAATGTTTTATTAGGCCAGGCGGTGGTGGCGCACGCCTTTAATCCCAGCACTCAGGAGGCAGAGGCAGGCGGATCTCTGTGAGTTCGAGACCAGCCTGGTCTACAAGAGTTCCAGGACAGCCTCCAAAGTCACAGAGAAACCCTGTCTTGAAAAACATAAAATAAAATAAAATGTTTTATTAAAAAAACTTTTTGTAATAGAGAGACATGCTGGCTCCTGGAAGCACCGCTATTCCCTCCAAAGAAGACGTATGGGCTAAAGAAACTCCACCCGAAACTTGATTCATAGGTGGCAGTGCTAGCCACTGAGCAAACCTACCTTTCACCTCAACTGCTGCAAAGACCCCTTCAGATGGTGGACAACAGTACACTGAGGAAAATACTGCCTCAGGTTGCCTAGGCCAAGTGTAGGCTGGTCTTCCTACAAACTCCTAATCCATAGAGACTCTAGAGCAAGCTGAGTAAGGGAAGCTGGGAGATACTTGAGTATTTGTTTTCCCACCTGAACTACTGCAACCACCTGACAGAGAAGATAGACAAAGAACAGGCTGGGCACTACATCAGCCTCTTTCTGCCATCTGGTGGCAACAAGGCAGAGAGACGTGAGCCTATGACAAGCAGAGGGACAGGAAGGCAGCCATTGCTCCCATCATGTAGGAGTTAAGTTTGGCCACCAAGTGACCCTACCCCCATATCATCTAAGGGAGCCGTCCATTCTGCCCCAAAGCTCTTGATTCTGCCCTTGCCCTCTCCCTGGGCAAGGGTTCAACCAGCCCCTCCAAGCTGGGCCTAAGTCACCAAGCTCAAAGATGGAAGGACTGTGTAAGGCCCAGAGTCACAAGGGACACTATTATACATAGAGTCCCAATCTCCATTATGCAACCAACTTGATCCACCCAGGTGAGCAAAAGGAGACTGTGGGCTTTGGGTGAGTAGACAAGTGCAGAGGAATCCTGAGGGACAGCTGAGAGCCTCGTTCCAACCTTTAGTCTGCAGAGCACCCCAAAGAACATGCTGGAGGAAGACAAGGGCCAAAGCCTGTGCCAGCCAGGAAGCCTGCCTTCCAGAAGTGGGACCAGTTCTGACATCTTATGGGATCACCTTGCAGGAGAACTGGAGCAGAGAAAATGATGGGTCAATGATGGGTGGAACCACACCTTTACCTAATCTGCTTAGCCATGTATATCTCTTACCCTCTTTATAAAGCAAACTTTGTTAGTGCCCTAACAATGGGCTTGGAGGATTCACCGACCCCTTCACTTGTTCCTCTCTCTATGTGGCCACACTGAATAATTCTCTTTTCTCTTGCTTTTCATTATTACCCATATCTTTAATTGGTTCATTGGACACCAATGGCCAGGCCTACCTTGTCGGAGCTTTCAAGGTCCAAGTTTATTACCTTAAAAACTCTGGTAACCTGATGGAAGTAGATGCAAAGATCCACAGTCAAGCACTGGGCCAAGCTCCAGGAGTCCAGGTGAAGAAAGGGTGGACGGACTGTATGAGCAAGGAGGAGGCAGCGGTCAAGATCGTGACGGGGAACTAAGAGACAACTGACCTGAGCTTGTGGGAACTCATGTACTCTGGATAGACAGCTAGGGAGCTGATGTGGGACCAACCTAGGTCCTCTGCATCTTGGTGACAGTTGTGTAGCTTGGTCATTTGTGGAGCCCTTAGCAGTGGGACCAGGACCTGTCCCTGATATTGAGCTGGCTCTTTGGAACCTATTCCCTATGGTGGGATGACTTGTTCAGCATTGATGCAGTGGGGAGGAGCTTGGTCCTGCCTCAATTTGATATGCCATGCTTTGTTGATTCCCATAAGGAGGCCTTACCCCCACCCCCATGTGAATGGAGACAGAAGAGGGAGGGTAGAAAGAAGGTAGGGGAGGAAACAGGAAAGGAGGGAGGGGAAACTGGTTGATATGTAAAACAGTTTTTAAAATGAAAAAAAAAAAGAATTAAAGGCCGGGCAGTGATGGCAGATGCCTTTAATCCCAGCACTCGGGAAGCAGAAGCAGACAGATCTCTTGAGTTTGAGGCCATCCTAGTCTACAGTGCGAGTTCCAGGACAGGCTCCAAAGCTACCGAGAAACCTTGTCTCAAAAAAACAAAAACTAGCACACCTTTAATCCCAGCACTCGGGAGGCAGAGGCAAGTGGACCTCGTGAGTTCGAGGCCAGCCTGGTTTACAGACCAAGTGCCAGGGTAGGCTCCAAAGCTATACAGAGAAACCCTGTCTCAAAAACAGCAACAAAAAAACCTAAAAAATAAAAAAAGAGCAGTTTCTCAATGCCTGCTGCATAGTTATGGCCAAGAAAGTTCTGATTGGTTCAGACAGGGTCTCATGGAGTCCAGGCTGACCTTCAACTTGCAGACATCCTGCCCATCCTTCTCTTCCATACCCAAGAGCTGGGATTACAGGTGTGCACATCAAATTGCTTTTCTAAGCCAGGTTAAATATTCTCATCTGAGCAAAGAGCATAGCAGCACTTGGGGGACTCACTCTCATAAGCCTCAGGGACAAAGCAAGGGTGATAATATAGCCATAAGTGCTATCGTGCCTGCCTGGCCTGTCACTGATGGGGCTAGGGGAACATGCTCCTCACCTTGTCAGTTTCTTTTATCCAATGCTTGATCATCAGGCCCCCAGCCTCCCTTAGAGATGCTGCATGGGAACACAGGGCCCAGGAGCTCAGGTCATTCCCCCTTTCCAGTTCGAGCACCCCTCCCATGCCCAAGTAATTCCAGCCTAATGCCCGAAGGGCCCAAGCATCCTAAACAAAGGCCTCCACTGGGGACAAGCTTTCCAGGGACCCAGAAAATCCATCAAATTGCTCTGCCACTCCCTATAGGATGTAGGAGGCAAGAACCTACTGATCAAAGGATAAATTTGTAGTTCTTGAGGATGTTCCAGGGGTTTCAGGCCATGAGGACTGACTCCTCCCTTATGGGTTGGCTTGGGACCCCCATCTCCAATTACCCTAATAACACCAGAAATGTAAACAGCAGCTTTGCTATGCACTAAGATTTAAATTGCCATATAGGGGTTGGAGAGATGGCTCAAGGGTTAAGGTTAAAAGCATGTCTTGCTTTTCCAGGGGACCAAGTTCAGTTCTCAGCAAACATATCAAGCGACTGTAATTCCACTTCCAGGGGATCAGAGGCTGTCTTCTGGCCTCTGAGAGCTACCGCATGCATGTGGGCACATACACGAACACAGGCAAATACATGCCCAATAATAAGTATTTTTTTTATTAAAACTACTGTCTGGTGTTAGAAAACCTGCAGGGAATTTTTCCTGGGTACATAAAATGCTGTGGCCCTCTGTGCTAAACACCCAAGAGTGTTCAGGGAAGTGAAGTCAAATATCAGCCATATTTGAAGGAGATACACGGGAAGGAACTAGTAACATTCTGCTTCCTTATTTGGGTGCTGGTTATATGATTCCATGGGGGAGTACAGTTAATGAAGTTTTGCCTTAGGTGCAATCTCCTGTATGTGCATCAAACTTCAATAGGGTCTCATTTATTTTCATTAACATATTTTTGGTTTTGTGTATGGATATTTTACTTTGGGGTTTTGTTTGGTTTTGGTTTTTGGTGTGTGTCTGTGCATGCATTCGTGAGAATACACCAGTGTGTACGTGAGGGTCAGAGGTCGACATCTTTTGCCTTATGTCTTCGAGCTCCACTTCCGGCCCCCACCTGAGTCTTACTGCACTAGGAGCTCACAGATTACTTAGGCTAAGGTAGGCTGGCTGTTGAACTCTGGGGATCCACCTGTTTCTACACAACACACACACACACACACACACACACACACACACACCACACCACACCACACCACACCCTCAGTCCAGCGTTTTACACGGGTGCTGGGTACCTGAACTTGGTTGAGTCCTCAGGCTTGCCCTGCAGACATTTTACCGACTGAGACATTCTCCCATGTCCTGGATTTAGGATTCTCTCCCTTTTCGTTATTTATTTATTTACTTAATATTGTATGCGCATGATGCATGTGTAGGCATACGTGTGCCACTGTAAGTATGTGGGGGTCGAGGACAATTTCTGTGAGTTGGTTCTCTCTCCTTCCACCTTTATACGCAGGCTCCCGGGATCGAACTTGGGCGCTTCTCTAAACCATCTGGGCAGCTTTTGGGGTTTGGGGAAACAAGGTCTCTGTAGTCCAGGCTGGCTTGAACACCTCTGGTCCTCTTGCCTCAGTCTCTCAACTGTTGGGATAACTGTTGGGATACCCTCACGCTCTGGGCTTTCAGGGAGATGAAGAAAACAAACAAACAAAAAAAGAAAGAAAACATTTTGCCATGCTCCATAGCTGTTTATAACGATATTGCTCACAGAGGAAATCGTGGAGCCCGCCTGAATGAATACTCCTGGCTTGTGGGATTCCGCCTCCAACTTAAGTTAATGAAATTATTTCCACCCTTTCTTCCTGCCTTGATAATCCTGGTGAAACGCAGGCAGGACGGCTGTTCCTAGAAGGGGATCTGGAGGCAGAGAAATACGCACTCTCAGTAGTCAATTTGTTTCACCATAACGTCCCGCCCTCCCAGACGTTGCCCGTCGGTGTCACGTGATCGCCGAGTCAGCTGACCCGGGTTGAGCTGGAAGAAGTCCTGGCTTTGGTCTCTTGGCACCATGGTGAGGGATTAGTGAAGCTGCGTAGCCGGGTATCGGGCGAGAAGGAGGTTTGGTGGCTCTAGGAACGTAACAAGAGAATCTTTACTGGAGCCTGCTGGGTGCGGCGGGACGGCCGAGTCCGCAGGCGCAGCCACGCATCACAGCATGGGCGCGCGACCGCGTTCATCCCGGGGCCTGGAAGGAGCCGGATTCCCACACACTCCCCCCAGGCCCCAAGAGGACCCCCGGCGGGAGCCCACTTCCCCGGCTGTCGGGTGACCAAGACGAGAACGTGCTTAGGACGGGTCCACACGGTTAGGAAGCCTCTTCGCTTTCCATAGCCAGGAAGTGGTTCTTGATTGGATTGAGCTTTCTGATTCATCCATTCATTGAGCAGATTCCTATTGAGTGTCTAGCCTGCACAGGCATCGGGACTGTGCAGCAAAAGGGGACGGCAAGTCAGAAGCAGGAATTGGAGGCTTAGTTCTTTGTCCAACCGCAGAGACTTTTCCTGAACCTTGGGCCCACTCGGGTCGGTTTAGGGTAGTTTGTGTAGTCCTGTTGGGAAGCAGGGGAGATGGAAGGGTGTCCTCAGACAGGGGACGGTTGTGCAACCTCTGAAAGAGCTAGGCCACCGGGAGACTACACATCTTGTCCCGCTAGAGCTTGGTGAAGATCAGCCCCAGTACTGCCAACAACAAGCCCCCCAAAAACCTAGCATCAGAAAGGGAGATGGGAGGGCGGGAGCGTGGTGAATGAGGATAGAGGGTCCAGCAAAGATGAAGACGGGTAAGGCTGAGGTGATGGTAGCATCCGGCAAACTGTTGTGGCTACAGCATGATGGGAACTTATGGAGAACTGCCACCAATTGATGTTTGTTGAGCAGACAGTAAAAGAACAAGGTCAGATGGCGGTGTGGGCAGGGAGAGAGTACTCAGGACAGTCTGGTGATAGGGGAGAACAGGTGACCAGAGAGTGGACATGAATCCTGGCCACCTCAGCCCTTCCTGCAGCCTGACTTCCTACCTTACCCTCTTGCAGAGGTTCCGGTTCTGTGGCGATCTGGACTGTCCCGACTGGGTTCTGGCAGAGATCAGCACACTGGCCAAGATTGTTGAGTGAACTGGTTAACTTAGGGTTGGGAGAAGAGAGGCTTGGGTGGGGGTAGAGGGCAGAGATTGGGACTGGGAGCTGGGGGAAGGGGCAGAGTGGGGTGGGGGAGTCTCCCTGATGGGTATGGGGGCCTCCATGCTGTGTGGCCTTGGTCACAGTCACATGACTGGCCCTCCTTCAGCCAGTCCCCCAGAATGAGGGGTAAGATGGGTCAGTCTGGCTGAAACAGTGACATCCTTTCCAGTCCTCGGTGAAGCTGCGGCTGCTGTGTAGCCAGGTGCTAAAGGAGCTCCTGGGGCAGGGGATTGATGTGAGTACGGGAGCCAACACTCCATTGTCCAATAACCTTTTGAGCCCCAGAGAAGTCTGTTCTGCAGCCTCCCAGCCCCCTTGGACATCCCTTCCCTCCAGCCCCAGCACATTCCTTACCACAGGATCTGGTCCAGGGGCAAGGGGCTGGTGACAGGGCTCTGGCACCCCCTGAGGACCTCCTTTTCCCGTAGTATGAGAAGATCCTGAAGCTTACTGCTGATGCCAAGTTTGGTGAGTACCCCTGAACGGGAACCATGGCCTTCCTTGACCCTCCTGCTTCAGGGGAGGAGAGGAAGGGAAGAGCCATATTGATAGCCCTCTCCTGTCCCCACTGTCTGCCACCTCCTGCTGATCCAGTCAGTAGTAGTACCCAGGCTTCAAGAAACTTGGGGCCCAAAGCTGAAGATAACAGAGCAGGGTGGCAGCTGGGGCCATAGTGACACCCCTTGCCTCACCTGTGGGCCTCTAGAGTCTGGAGATGTGAAGGCTACAGTCGCAGTGCTGAGTTTCATCCTCTCCAGTGCAGCCAAGCATAGTGTGGACAGTGATTCCTTGTCCAGTGAGCTACAGCAGCTGGGGCTGCCCAGAGGTATGCAGGGTGGACAGGTGGGAAACCCGTGTGTAGGGGTTTCTGGAGGGTATGCTGAGGCCTTGTTGACACTGAAATGTATCCAAAGCCCAGTGCCAGTCTCCACCTGCCACCTCAGCAGAGCTCCATCTCCTTGCAGAGCACGCCACCAGCCTCTGCCGCTGTTACGAAGAGAAGCAAAACCCTCTACAGGAGCACCTTCGGGCCTGCAGCCTGCGTGGTGAGTATGAAAACAGCCTGGGGGCGGGGGGAGTACATGGGCTGTACTCTAGAAAGTACAAACACAAGTCAACTGCTATTTGTCCAGAGGAAGCCTTAACCACAATTACATACAGAACAGTTGAAGAGTTTAGAACTGGCCAAGCATCTCATGACTACAGCCTGAGTTTGTTTTTTCTGAGGCCCGTGGTAGATATTCAACCTGCCCTACAACAGGCCTGAGTTGGAGGCTTTATAGGCCTTGAAGGGCTGTGGGATGAGCCCCATTGTGGAATTAGGTAGAGGACTTCCTGGCTTGTCTGATAGCTGCCTAACTTCTTACCTGCAGTGAACAGGCTGGCCCATGTGGGCTGGCGTGTGGACTACACCCTGAGCTCCAGCCTGCTCCGTTCTGTGGAGGAGCCCATGGTGCACCTGCAGCTAGAGATCGTGCCTGCCCCGGGTGCCCTGGCCCAACCTATTTCCATGTCCCTCTCAGCAGACAAGTTCCAGGTTCTCCTGGCAGGTGAGGCTGGACCTACAGAGAGTGGGAGACCTCCTGGGTATGGCTGTCTTGGAACTGGCTCTAAAGACCAGGCTGGCCTTAGACTGGCTTCTGTCCCTTACCACTCCCCATGCCACCCTCTTGTCCCCTGCAGAACTGAAGCAGGCTCAGACCCTGATGACCGCTTTGGGCTGAGATGGGTGTTCCTGGCCTCTGAGTTGCTTCCTCAGTGCTCCACACTTCTCTTCCAAGACTGGCCCTGTCCTCTTGACTGCCTGGCCTTCTACATAGTGCTCCTGGGGAGTCTTCCCCAGAATCCCCTTCTTTCCTTTGAAAGAAAGTACTTGTCAACCAGGAAAAAAGAATAAACTTGTGTACAGACAGCAATGTGTACAGGCTTGCTTGCTTCTGTTGTTGTTTTCGACAGAAGTCCTGAGACAAAGTTGGACTCCAACTTGGTGTCTAGTTGAAGTTGATCTTAAACTTTTAATCCTCCTGCCTCTACTTCTTGAGTTCTGAGATTCCATGCACCGCCATGCCTGGTTTATGTGGTGCTGGGAACAAACCTAGGCTCCATGCAGGTCAGGCAAGCTCTTTACCAACTGAGCTATATCCCAGCCCAAGTAAGAGAGACCAGATGACAATCTGACCTCTGCCCATCACTTTCAGTGTCGCTTGCTGGGAGCCTGAAGACAAGGTCTGCACAGAAAGGACAGAACCAAGAGCATCACAAGTCAAAGATAGCACCCACCTTGCCTATCTGTAGACTCGCTGTTCATTCTGGTCCCCAGTACCAGTGAGTCATCCATGGCCACATTCCAGGCCTGCCCATGTTACCTGAGAAATTGTCACTAATTAATTAAAAAGCTGGGCCTGGAGAGAAAGCTGAGCAGTCAGAGCACTGGCTGCTTTAGGAGAGGACCTAGGCTTGATTCCCAGCACTCACATGGCAGCTCACAACTGTCTGTAACACCACTTCCAGGAGATCCCATGTCTTTTGGCCTCCAAGGCCATTGTATGAACATTGTGCACAAACATGCATGTAGGTCCAAACATGCACCCATACACATAAAAGAAATTTTAGGAAGAAAAAATTTTTAAAAACACATGAGTCCATAATGACAAAAATAAAACACTGCCTTAAATGCAGACCAATGCAGTTTGTCACTGTCAGACACAATTACTGCACCAAATCTTAGTCTGAAAATTGGTAAAAGCACCAGGCATGGGGCACACACCTTTAATCCCAGCATTCAGGAGGCAAATGCAGGTGCATCTCTCTGAGTTCAAGGCCAGTCTGGTCTACAGATCAAGTTCCAGGACAACCAAGGCTACACCTTGTCCTCCAACCCAAGAAGAAAATAAAAAGAGAGAGGAAAAAATTGCTAAAAGAAGGAAGAATCATTGGGTTAGAGTTACAGCTCAGTAGCAGTGTTTACCTGCCATATACATGGCCCTAGGTTTGATTTTCCAGAGCTGGAAAAATAAACATGGGCCAGGTGAAGAGGTACACATCTGTAACTGAAGCATAGAAGCTAAATCAGGAAGTGAGTTTGAGAACAATCTGGGCTATATAGTAGTATCTTATTTCAAAAAATAATAATTTTAAATAAAAGGTCATCTGGGTATGGTTTCACACATATTAATCCCAGCACTCAGGAGGCAGAGGCAGGAAGATGTCTGTGAGTTCAAGGTCAACCTGGTCTATATAATGAGTTCCAGGACAACCAGGGCTACATAGAGAGATCCTGTATCAAAAGAAAAACAAAGTCATACTCAATAAGGTGAAACTTTTTTTTTAAGCAACTAGTTGATTGCAACTAGTTGATACATAAGTATTAATGGAATAGAGCCAGGCATCATGGTATACACCTGAAATACCAGAACATGGGAAATGAAGGCAAAGGATTCGGGCCAAGTCCAGCCTTGTCTACACACAGCAAGTGGGATACAGGAGACATCAAAAAGGAAGGAGGAGACGATGGGAAGGAGGGGGTCAACATTTTGTAACTGCCAACTAGACCTTTGGAAAGAGCTGTGCCCAATGGCGCAAACCTATCACCCACCTGCTCCAGAGGCTGAAGCAGGATTTTGAGCAGGTTCATGGGGCCTTCTGGGGAGTTACGCATGGCACTCACTAAGTAGCATTTGCCCAGAATGGCTTCAGGCTCCAGCATAAAAAGAAAAAGCTGATTTCCAACCTAACATCTCTGTAGCCTTTTGGCCAGGCAAGTAGCTCATATCTCTAATCTCAGTACTTAAGAGGCTGAGGCAGGAGGATGGCCATGAGTTTGAGGTTAGCCAGAGCTACATAGTGAGTTCAAGGCTAGCTTACGCAACTAATTAAAACTGTTGCCTTAGGTGGTTATTTTTTTAAGACTAATGATATAGTTCAAGATTAGAGAGTTTGCCCAGCATTCATGAGGCCCTGGCTTCAATCCTTGATACAAATAAACAAAAATAGTTGATTGTGGCAAATCATCAAGAGTCCAAAAACCTCTGGATGATGTTGATGAGGGGGTCCCATGAGATGGCTCAGTGGGTCAACTGCCCCAAAACTGGCAACCTGAGTTCAATCCCTGAGGCCTTCATGGGGAAAGGAAGAGTGGACTACAGAGAATTGTCCCCGGGCCTTCACAGATACACTCCAAGGCATATGTACATTCCTACACAGTAAAAAGCAATTTTAAAAAGTTAAACTGGAGAGCCCGGCATTGGTGGCACATGCCTTTAATCCCAGCACTCAGGAGGCAGAGGCAGGCAGATCTCTGTGAATTGGAGGCCAGCCTGGTCTTCAAAGAGAGTTCCAGGATAGGCTCCAAACCTTCAGAGAAACCCTGTCTTGAAAAACAAATGAAACAAATGTTAAGCTGGGAAACTGAGCAGTGGCAGTGTACATTTTTAATCCCAGCACCAGGAGGCAGAGGCAGGTGGATCTCTATGAGTTCCAGGCCAGCCTGGTCTACAGAGCAATTTCCAGGACAACCAGGACTACACAGAGAAACCCTGTCTTGAAAAACAAAACAAACAAGCTGGGTGTGGTAGTCAGTACTGTTAATCCCAGCACTCCTGAAGCAGAGGCCGGTAGCTCTCTGTGAGTTCAGAGCCAGACTGGTCTACACAACCAGTTCTAGGAAAGCCCGGGGTTACATAGTGAGGCCCTCTCTTTTTAAAAAAAAAAAAAAAAAAAAAAAAAAACGTTAAATTTAGATGTGAAAGTGGATATTCGCATGTGCTGAAGAAACAATCACTCCTATACCTGATGCCCCCAGGTGGTAACTGCATAGACCAAGAGACTGTCTACACAAGAGAATATTTTGGCTTTCAAGAGGAATGAGATACTGAGTATAACAGCAGGGACAAATTTGGGAGTAGAAGATAAAATACACTCCCTGAATTGTGATAAGAGCAGTTAACATTGAGGGCTCCAGGGTAAAGGCACTTGCTTTTTGATCCTGGAAAACCAAGTGAAAAATCGGGATGCATTGACAAGCATTTATAATCTCAGCACTTTAAATCAAGACAGGAGGCGGAGACAGGAGAATTGCCCGGAAGTTCTGGGGACGGCTAGGCTGGAGTATGGTACAGCAGCATAAACAAAAGAGGGCTGCTTCAGCTGGCAGGAAAGAACTGACTTCTGCAAACTGTCCTCTGACCTCCACATGCGCATGTGGCACATGAATGTCCCCGTCATATATATGTCACAACAGCAATCTAAGAAAAAGAATACAACACGAGAACCATCCCATTAAAGTTTCGTTGTACAGCCATGCTAACTACGGAGGCCATGCTGCACTTACTCATCTTAGGTAACTGAAACTTTATTCCTACTATCAACTTCCTCTCCCTCTTTTCTACAACCATCCTACTCACTCCTTTTGTGTGTTTGATTAATTTAGATGCCCCATATAAATAGAATCTCAGTGTTTGCCCTTCCATGACTGATCAACCATTTAGCAAAATGTCCTCAAGATTATCTATGCTGCTGCCACAGGCAGGCAGTGAACACTATTCCACTCTGCTTATATCCCACATACTGTGTTTTTTTTTTATCTTTATAATCTGGCAGGGGGGGGAGCTGTGCATGTGCACTCTCTTGATAGTTCAGGTTCTCACATGTGAGTACAACTGCCTGATAAATCTACTTGGAGCTACAGTTGTGAGCTGCCAGATGTGGTGGGTGTGAATGGACCAGCTCCCCATTTTGGCAGCCATGACAGTAACACGTGCTTGCCATGACCTTGCCTTGGTCACTAAGAGGTCAGATGCCTGCCTTGTGGCAAGGAACCAATCAGAAGTTAGCTGGTGGCGCTATGCTTTACGGCTCTGGGTGTGCTTTACGGACAAGTGCACAGGAATGACTCGCAGAGCATAGCAACCACCCTGGGAGGGCCTATGGGCCATAACAACCAATTGGCCAATCAACACAGGGCAAGTCCTCCAAGCCTGGAGGCACACCAATCCTGAGCCTGTGCATACCCCTAGACACTCTCCTTACACTGCCCTACAAGATCTCTCGCCAGCCGGTTCAAGCTGTTTTTCCTAGCCATCCGCTATGGCGGGTGGGTGAAAGACCTGAGCTAACATGGGGTTAGCTTGGTAAATAACAATAAAGCCTCATGCAGTTTGCAGCAGGCTTTCGAATCCGCCTGGTGATTGGGGTGACCACGGTTGTGGGCTGAGACCCCGGGAGGCCTGACTTTTCCGGGGGTCTAACAGGTGCTGCGAACCAGACTTGGTCATGGTCTTGGTCTTTGGTCACTGCAGGAGAAAAGTAACTAAGACCACTAAGATTGACTGAGTATGGGAAGATTAAGTGCTTTAATCACTGAGCTATCTCTCCAGCCCAGTATACATGCCACATGTTTTAAAAGTCTGTGTATCCACGGATAGACAGTGCAGTGGTTTTCTCTGTGGCTATAGGTGCTATAGGTGTGCTTTCATGGGTATTATCTCCTGAGTGTGGGGAGCAGTTGTGTAATGTATCACATTCAGTCAGGTGTGGTAGCACATACCTTCAGTAGTCCCAGCAGAGGCAGGTGGATCTCTGTGAGTTTGAGGCAAGCCTGGTCTACACAGCAAGTTTCAGGTCTCAAAAACACAAAACAAAATGCAAAATCCCCTGGTACTTCAGGGCTGGAGAGATGGTTCAGCAGATAAGAGCACTTGCTGCTCTTTCGGAGGACCCAATTTTGGTTCCCAGTACCCTATGGTGGAACACAACCATCTACAATTCTAGTTACAGGGATCTGATGCCGCCTTCATCCTCAGAGTACACCAGAAAGGCACATGGAGCACATACATACATGTAGACAAACAAACACTTAAATACTTTAAAAAAATAAATCTTTTTAAAAACTCCCTCAAGCCATGAACACTGGATGTCTTGGTTACTTTCCTATCGCTATGACAAAACACGATGACCAAGGCAGGCGACTTATAGAAGAGTTTACTGGGGCTCATGGTGTCAGAGGGTGAGTCCAGTTTACTGGGGCTCACGGTGTCAGAGGGTGAGTCCAATTTACTGGGGCTTACAGTGTCAGAGGGTGAGTCCATGGCCACCATGGGCAGCAGCATGGCACCCGGAAGGCAGGCTTAGTCCTGGAAAGCAGTTGAGAGCTCACATGTTAGTAACACACAAGCAGGAGGGGGCAGTTCTGGATAACTGGGAATGATGTGGACTTTTGAAACCTCAAAACCCACCCCCAGGGATACACCTTCTACAAAAAGGCCACACTTCCTAATTCTTCCCAAACAGTTCCCCCAAGTGGGAACCAATGATTTAAAAATATAAGCCTAGGATGTCATTCTCATTCAAACCACCACAGTGGCCCATACCTACAACCCAGGTTCTTACTGGGGAGGCAGAGGAAAAAGGATTAGAGGAAATTGGAGGCCAGTTTGAGTCCCAGGCCAATCAGGAATACATAGCAAGACCCTCTCTTTAACCTTCCTCACAGAGAGAGAGAGGGAGAGGGAGAGGGAGGGGGAGAGGGAGAGGGAGAGGGAGAGGGAGAGAGAGAGAGAGAGAGAGAGAGAGAGAGAGAGAGAGAGAGAGAGAGAGAGAGAGAGAGAGAGAGAGAGAGAGAGAGAGAGAGAGAGAGAGAGAGAGAGAGAGAGGAGAGAGAGAGAGGAGGGGCAAGTAAGTGGAAGAGCAAATCATAGCTGCTGGTCAGCATCAGGTAAATGCAGCACCCTGCAGAGGTTTTCTTTCTCCTTTATACTTTTTAATCCTTCCACTTTCACTTCCCTGGGCTTTTTGAGGCTCAGTCCTACTAGTACTCTCTTCTCTTATTCTCAACGCAGTCCCCCACCCCCACTCCCAGTCCACCCCCAGCCACAGACACACAGAAAGAACTTCCTTGGGTTCTGTTCCTGCACTTTGCATTGATCCTTTGTGCCTGGCAAAAAAAAAAAAGTATCTTGTCTACACTTTTTGTGTCTGAGGTTGTGACAAACAAACCAAGCAAGCTTTTGTGCCTAAATTCTGACTTTACCTCAGGCTGCCACAGAGCCCCTCCCCCCACAGAAGCCTCTTAACCGGATTCAATTTAAAAGCCTGTGTTATTGGCTGATGCACTTCCGCAGGCAGTGATAATGTTGTTTGTATGTTATGTCTGACTGCACTGACATTTATGGTCGTCTTGGGTCCCCAGGGATTGTTTATCATGCACCTGTGTGTGTCTTGCACACAGGTGCGGGTGGCTCTACACAGCAGGTGCCGTTTCCGGCTGAGGGTGTCAACCCTTGCCAGACTAACTGGTAACTTCAGCTGCAGACAGCTGCGACTCCGCACACCCATTCTGATCGCGGCTCCGCTCTCGGTAAGACGGGTTCTTTCTCCAGGCCATGCGACTACCCAAAACTTGCCCGACGCCCGGATCCCCATAACTAAAGAACTCCATTACGTACGCGCCGCCTGCCCAAAGAACTACACTTCCCAGCAGGGGCCAGGGCGGCTACGTCCTCTCCCAGCGTGCTCTGAGGTTCCGCAGGCCACTGTGATTAACCCCTTAGTGGCTGCAGTCTGCGGTTGAGCGGCAACCAGCTTAGGTATCCCGCTTGGATGGGGGCATAACGGACCCTCAGGGGAACTGAAGATCTAAAATATCTGGGAGCCTTGGAAGGGAGGGAACCCAAGATTTTCTTGCGGGGAGAGGTGCCATAGAGAACTCCGCCTCCTCGCGAAACTAGGACTCTGAAGGTTTTCCGATAATCAAACCCTTTTTGGTGCGGAGGCGTCTGCCCTCGCTAAACCGCAAATTCTGCAAGTAGCAAAGATGGTGTGAGGGCAAAGAACCAGAACCCGGTCCCTCCTGGAACCCCCACTATGATTACCCCATCCCCTACCCCTGGGGTCTGTGAGAATAGGACTGTGCACAAATTGGAGCATTCCCTCCTCCTAGTTCTGCTCTCTGCCCTGATGAGAGGGCATCTGGGAGGGAGCCTCTCCGTCCTGTCTTTGTGGTGATAGTAGTCTAGGTCTGTTGCTGCTGGCCCAACACGCAGTTGAGTTTTTACCTCTATGGATGCTAGACATTCGGGGCCAGTCTAAACTGTGGTTGACAGCTTTGCCTTTGGAGTGCCAACAGGTAGCAGCTGGAACAGATGGTGAGAACCTTTGAACTTTGGGAGCTCTGAAGTCAAGATGTGGCTGGGGAGAAAGAAGGCCTCCCTCAAATGTGGTGGGGGAAGAGTAAGGCCAAAGGCCTGGAGATGGGAGGAACAGGTTTGGGGGGGGGGGAGCTCAGAGGACACAAAGTAACAGGCTCCAACAGGGATCTGAACGGTATTCTAAAACCAGGTGTGCAAGCCCATGGAAGGGAAGCATTAGTGAGAAAGACAGCCTTCCTGCCTTCCAGCTTCAGCTTCCTGGTACCCTGGCCTTGCTTGCACTTTGAATGGGAAACAGGGGCTGTGGCTAGGTCAGCATCCTCCTGCCTATCCTAGATGGTCATATGTCTCCTTGGCTCTCTGCCTTTTCCTCTGTAAAACCTTGGTGACAATTCCTACTTAACAAGACACCTCTGGCACAACCTGTTGTTCTCTTCCCATTACAGGGGCTGCCATTTCTCCTTCAGAATGCCAGAGGGCCCAGAGCTGCACCTGGCCAGCCACTTTGTAAATGAGACATGTAAAGGGCTGGTATTTGGTGGGTGTGTAGAGAAGTCCTCTGTCAGCCGCAACCCTGAGGTGCCCTTTGAGAGCAGTGCCTACCACATCTCAGCCTTAGCCCGAGGCAAGGAGCTTCGCCTGACCTTGAGCCCCCTGCCTGGTGCCCAGCCCCCTCAGGAGGCACTGTCCCTTGTCTTCCGCTTTGGTATGTCTGGATCCTTCCAGCTGGCACCTGCAGATGCACTGCCGCCCCATGCCCATCTACGTTTTTACACGGCCCCACCTGCTCCCCGGCTTGCCCTTTGCTTCGTGGACATCCGCCGCTTTGGCCACTGGGACCCTGGGGGTGAATGGCAGCCAGGCCGCGGACCCTGTGTCTTGCTGGAGTATGAACGGTTCAGGTAGGACTGGGTATGTAGAGCACCATCCAGGCCCACAAGAAACAGATCCCAGCCCCTACTGGGCCTCGGTCCGGTCCCCCTAATCTATAGATTGAGATGGTGTCTGGGCAGGTCAAAAGTCTGAGGACACAGAAACAGCATTAGAGTTGAGCTGGACCCAGCATCCCAGTGTACTTCCTGGTGGTCCCAGGCCATCAAGGAAGGTAGAAGGCTTTCATCCAACCTTAAGAACAAGTCTGCACAGTGGGGAGAGAGTGGTCTAGTGAGCCGAAGTCAGGTTTTGGTGGTCTTCACATTCTGCCTGCTCACCTGTCTGTCCTCTGGTCTCCTCTATGACCGTCTCTGCTCTCAGTACTTTCTCTAAAGAGGCAATAAGTCTCTGCTCCAAGACAGGCCCTGTAGGGTACAGCAGTGGGCGGGGTGAATGTGTCCCTTCTTTCGCTGCATTGGGGATGTGCAGGTAAGACAGGGCCAGCACACACAGACCTTTGGCCAAGGGTGGGGAGCAGCACATCAGGAATGGCCACACGAGAGAAGGTTTTGAGCTGAGATCTGGCATGGTGGAGATGGAGCCAGCTGTGTAAAGCTTGGAGGAGAGTCTTGGCAAAAAGTGAAGGTGTGCAGGCCTGAGGTGGGCCTGGCACTTTCTCATTTTCCCTCCTGGGAACAGAGTTTGTGCCTCTGTTGAGCCCTAGACTTGGTCACATCTCTGGTGTCACAGAAGCAGTTGACTCCCTGCTGTCCCAGGAGAAGCACTGTCCATAGCCCTGGTTTTTTGTTGCTTGCCAGAAGGTTCTATTTTGTCTCTTGATAGATCTCAGAGCTTATTCCACAGTCCTCCAGTTGCGTGCGGGGGGGGGGGGGGGGGGGGGATGATGACACAGCACCACACAGAAGCATCTCTCTTAGAACTTCTCATCACACTCACTCATGCCCACCACCCAGCTAGTCCTTCATAATTTGAGGGAGTAAGGGCAAGTTGAGACAGGATTTCACCCTATCCCAGGATGGCCTGGTATTTGCTACATACTCATGGCAGTAGGTCTACTGCTTCAGCCTTTACAGTGTTGATTATAGGCATAGCCACCACACCTTGGTGTGTGTGTGTATGTGTACACAGGGTCTTATTATGTAGTCCTGCCTGGCCTGGGAGAAGCTATGTTGGTAAGGTTGGCCCCAAAGTTGCCTCTATGCTTCTGTCTCAGCCCCCCAAGTATTGGGATTTCAGGTGTGAGCCACCATGCCTAGCTGAACATTTTTGATTCTTTAACAATAAACAATCCCATATTGTTCCCATGTAACAAACAGGAAAACTGAGGCTCCAGCTGCCCAAATATTACTGACACCAGAGGGAGCTGGGACTGTCTCTCCTTGCACTCAGGAACTGCCTCCCCAGCCCTCTGTCTCTCTCCCGGGTGTGGGATGGGTCTCATGCATCCAGCCTATGTCCCTGTAGGGACAATGTACTTCGGAACCTATCAGACAAAGCCTTTGACCGACCCATCTGCGAAGCTTTGTTGGATCAGAGATTCTTCAATGGCATTGGCAACTATCTGCGGGCAGAGATCTTGTACCGGTGAGCAGGCAGGCTATGGGTACAATGGCTGGGGTGGGACATGGGTGGTCACATCCACTACTTAGCCCTGACCCTCGTCACCTTCCCAGGCTGAAGATACCCCCTTTTGAGAAGGCCCGTACAGTTCTAGAGGCCCTGCAACAGTACCGGCCGGTGAGGACAGTGCGAAAGCACGTGTGCTGGTGTGGGTGGCAAGGATATCGGTAGTCAGGTGTTTCTACCTTAGCTCGCCAAGTGTGTGGAGGAGGTGTGAACCACATCAAAGGTCCTGCCAAGCTTAGAGGGGAGTCCATAGTCTTCAGTGTGAGGTGGGGTGAGTACCCTGTGTTAAAACCTTGGTTCTGCCCACCCACCCTTCAGAGCCCAGAGCTGACCCTGAGCCAGAAGATCAAGGCCAAACTGCAGAACCCAGACCTGCTGGAACTGTGTCACTTGGTGCCAAAGGAAGTGGTTGAGCTGGGTGAGGCCTGGGGAAGCCAAGATGATGTCTGCTTTAGCCTCTGTGAGATGCTGAGCAGCTATCCTCTTGGCCCTAGGGAATGGGAGCTTGCTAAACAGACCAGGTCTCTTGGCATGTTTCCACTTCCTCCCAGCCTCCCATGCAGCAAGAGGGACAAAGATTCACCTTGCTGATGGAGAGGAGCCAGGACCCAGAATGGGAGGACACCAACCTAGTCACAGTGGGAGGAGGGAGTGTGGGGCTGACTCAGCCCATCAGCTTCTTTAGCTGAGGTCTGAGCCATGTTGAACCAGAATCCTTGTTTCCCCCCCACACTCCCCAATTACCCCCCCCACCTCTGACTGGTTCCTCTGTCCCTCAGGGGGCAAAGGCTATGGACCAGAGCGTGGAGAGGAGGATTTTGCTGCCTTCCGAGCCTGGCTGCGGTGCTATGGCATGCCAGGCATGAGTTCCCTGCGAGACCGGCATGGCCGTACCATCTGGTTCCAGGTTTGAGCCCTATTGCTCACATGAAGCTGGTGGGGTAGTAAGATAGGTCTGAGCCAGGTAGAGATGACCTTAGCCTGTGGAGGCCTGCCAAAGATTACATTGTTCCTGAGTGTATTATTCTCCAATGTGATGCTCTTCTTCTTGGAGCCTCAGGGTCCAAGCCAGTCAAGGCAGCTAACGTACGTGTGTGTGTGTGTGTGTGTGTGTGTGTGTGTGTGTTGTGGCGGGGGTAGGGTTGGTTATATAGATCTGAAAAGATGTGGCCTTGCCACTCCAAGGGAAACTGCCCGTTCACCAGACCAGGTTGACTCCAGAATTGTCCTCATTCCATTTTAGGGTGATCCGGGGCCCTTGGCACCCAAAGGTAAGCAGCTCTTAATGTAAGAGATAAAGAAGTGAAAGGCCATGGGCTGGCCTTGCACAGCCATCCTCCCATCCCTCTCTAATCTTGGAGTCACCCAGCAATGAGTCTAGAGAGGGGCTGAAGCCCTAGGGCTAACTCCAGGGCAACATCCAACAGGGGGCAGATCCCGGAAGAGGAAGCCACAGGGGACACAGCTAGAGGCTGAAGACAGAAAAGATGTATGAGCACCAGCCAACCAGCCTGCCTGCCTGCCTACCTCCTCTGCACTGACTCTTGCCAACTCCACTGCTCAGGCCAGGCTCCTGGCCACCTGTGTCCTCCCTCCAGGGGCTGTTGGTGTATGGTGGGGAATGTCAGTGGTGGGTCCTAATGCTCACACGTGTGAACTGCTAGGAAGAAAACCAATAAGGACCATCTTGCCTATGCAGGACCTTCCACTTTCAAGCAAGTCCATTTCCAGGACTCGGAGGTCCAGGAAACACCCTCCTAAGACTATAGCTCAACAGTCTGAAGGGACCAGCCTCCAACAAAACCAGGAAACTCCTACACCCCCCAAGAAAGGAAAGAGAGGGGGGCAACCGGCAACCACAGGTGGATCTTTTTCAACATCTTGGAGCTGGAAGGGTCCCCGGGGAGTGGCTCTTCAGGGAGGATGGGAAGTGACACAGGGTGGGGAGAGGAAGGCCTAGGTCAGGACACACAGTCACTGACTCACCTGCTCTCCCCACAGGTCGCCGCAGACCCCCAAAGAGTAAGGCCAAAACCCAATCCAGGGAGGCTGGGGGAACTTCAGCCTCATAGATGGAGGTTTCCTTGCTTGGACTCTATTCCCTGCTGCCTTGCTATGAATCTAGGGGCATGTCTGAATCCCTGGAAGCAATGTGCCCTGGGTCCTGTGACTTTTCCTGTACAACTGTTTTTTGAAGCAGGGTCTCATGTATCCTAGGCTGGCCTTGAGCACGTGTGTACCTGAGGATGACAATGAACTCCTGATTGATTTTCTTGCCTTCATTTCCATAATCGCTGGGATTACAGGAGTGAGCCACCACATCCTACTGATATTGTTGTTGTAGTCTTTTCAAGACAGGGTTTCTCTGTGTAGTCCTGGCTGTCCTGGAATTTGCTTTGCAGACCAGGCTGGCCTTGAACTCAAGAGAGCCACCTGCCTCTGCCTCCTGAGGGCTGGTATTAAAGGTGTGTGCCACCACCTCCTGGCTTGTGATGTTTATAAATATATGCCATCTTCCACATGCTTTCTAGGCTGGCTGCTTAAGGTATGAGGTCAGGTTGGAAAGACATACTGCATGGCTCCACCTATTTATAAATGCAATTCCCTACCTTCCACCCCCCACCCTCCACCCACTCAAAACCCAATCAGAGGACAGTCTGCCTATGCAGAGCCAGCACCTCTGCAGACCTGGGCTCAGGCAGTGCAGCATTCTTCAGGGCCTATGGCTGGATGTACCCCTAGCCTAACACTTGCCAAAAGCTTTCCTCGCAGCTGAGGGTGGTAAGATGAGGAGGGGTGTGTGCACGCGAGAGCATGTGTGTAGAGCCTCCTGTCCAGCCCTACCACCTCTGCTGCTGACACAGGATGAACCCTTTATCTCAAGGTCGCTTGGCTTATGGCCACCTGAGGTCTCCAGTCTCTCAGGTGGGGCCACAAACCAGACCCTGCACGCACAGGTAACCTTAGATCTTGCCCCTGAAAAGTAGCTCTCTCCATCCTCCTTACAGCCCAAGGAGTGGCCCTAAAAGGAGCAGCAAGGCTGGATTAGACAGGACTGCTAATCTAAGCATTTATTGCACAAGAAGCTTATTTCGGGCTAGGGAGGTGGAAATGAGGAGCTCCCAAAGCTCTCCACAAACAATACTCAGTTCGGTGGAGGCTGAAGCACAAGCAATAGGGACTTCACTTGAAAGGGAGAAAAGGTGAGCTTCAGGCGGTTGTCCTGAAGGGACAAGTGACCAGTAGGGTCTCGCTGCTCCAGGAGGTCACAACTGGATGGAGAAAAGGAGATGCCATAAGGACTGACAAGGGCAGGGCTCCCACCTCTCCCTCTATCTCATTTCCACTCACAGGATGGCCTCCTGAACAGGCAAAGATGTGTATAGCCAGCAGTCCACATGGCTGCCATAGGCCTCATACAGCCTTAGAACCAGTGTGCGGGGCTGATGGCTCTTCTCAGCCTGTGAAAGGAAAGCTGGGCAGTGGGCGGGGCCAAGAACCTGTGCATCCCAGGAACCTCCCCAGACTGTCCTGCCTCTTGCCTGCTTGATGGTCTCCAACACTACTGCTGGTGAAGATACAGAAAAGGCACTCCAGGTGGTGGCAGGTGCTGGGCTTGGAGCTGACAGTGCCAGCAGAGGAAAGTTGAGGTTGTAGGCAGCGTGGATAACACCAGCCTCTTGGAATGAGCCTGGGGAAGGACCCAGAAAGAAACACATGTGTACAACGGGATTCCCCACAGTGCCTCTGGAGGAGATATGGGGCTAAGCTGCCTCAGTTTACCACAGTGCCTGCTGGAGATTTGGGAAAGGGCAGAGAGGTGTCAAAGGCAACAGAAGAGCCCCGTCACCCTGGTACTTACCCTTGTGTGGCATCAAGGCGTAAGTGAATTCATGGCGCCCCATATCAGCAGTAACATCTGGGGCCTTAGGTGCACGCAACCTGGAGTGGGGGGAGAAATCAGGGGGCTGGAGTTGTAGCATAGGAAGCCCCGCACACCCATGCCGGCCCTGGGCCTGGCAGGCTCTGCACTCACAGCGAGAGGCTGAGGACATTGCCTCGTACTGATGTCCCGTACTTGCAGTTGTTGAGCAGGGCCAGCCCAAAATCACACTCAGACAGATCTATCCAGCGGTGGGCCCATACCTGAAGGGCAGACCCAAGGCCTATGGGTGGCTCTTATCGCAAAGCTCTTTTCAGTAGGAGCCTATGGTTGCATCTTAGCTGATACCCAAGGGAGCTTTGGGCATGCCATCCCATCTGTCTGCCTGCCTACTCATCTGTGGAATGGTAACAGTGGCTATAGTATCAAACCAAAGGATTTAGCAAATGCCTGGTCTGTGTTAGAAACCACAGGTGTCAGTCATTTTCCTCCTCTGGTCCACAAATCACAAAACTAGTCTCTCCTCAGTCAGGGATGAGTCCAAGCCCCACCCTTTCCCCCATTTCCCACGTCAGACCTCATATCGAGCCCAGTCCCAAGAGGTGTTATAGTGGGTAGGCCTCTGAAGGTGCCCAAACTGGATTTCGTAGGTAGCCTGGGGGCTCCGTATTCGAGCAGGGAACTCCACCTTCAGGAACTTGTGGGCCTCATGCCAGTGCACCTGGGAGTGGAATGGAGGGTAGGGACAAGAAAAGGGCATTTAGGCCTTTTCACCAGGCCCATCTGGGAAGAGGGCCACTACCCTGCCCCTTCTACCTCAGTGTGGAAGCGGACATAGGGGCAACCAATGTCCAGCACAACCTCTTGGCTGAGCCGACTGCTGGGGCTGATCTGCAGCAGGAAACAGGCACTGCCCCGTAGGCCACCCTCAGTGCCTACTGCCAGGGTTCCTGCCTGGCCCCGCACAGGCTTCCTGTAAGATGAAGGTGGGAGGCACTAAGCCAGAGCAGCGTGTATCCACAACCACGACCACCCCAAGGACCTGCCCAGTATGTACCGTGTCTCCAGATGGTAATCCATGACATCCCACGCGTCCCAATACAATGGCACATCATCAAACAGCACAAACTGGTTCCCCAGGGCACCCTCAGCGATGGCCTCCCTGGAAGAACAGGAGGACAGGGGCTTCACAAGAGTGTGACCTTGCTCTCTCCAGCTGAACTTAGTGGGGGCAGGTTAAATAGGGCCAGGGGCCAAGGGACTGCTAGCCAGCCTGCCCTGCCCCATGTGTGGGTTCCAGCCTAGAGGCACTTGTAGACTATTTGGACAATGTGGTGGCTAAGGGACAGCGAGAAGAGGCAGAGTTTGGGATCTACTTGCCAGGCATGGGGTTAAGAACAATGAAGGGTTGGCACCTGCCAGAAGCCACCAGGACCAGGGAAGTAAGACAGCCGGTTGGGTCCAGTCTCACCCGGATGATGCCATTGTCCAGAGTCACAGAACCGTCAGTCTTGGGTGCAAGAGTCCTCAAGCTCAGTTAGTTGTGTTCCCCAACCCCAGCCCAGCCCTCTTAGAACCAGGCATTACCCCAGAACCTTGCACGAGACCAAGGAGCACACCAGAGTAAGCCCCACCCCATTGGGAGCTGCTAGGACTTACCTCCTGCACCACAAACACAGGCTGCTGGGGCAGCAGGGGCTGCAGTGAAGTAGGTGTGGGAGCAGGGGCATAGCCAACACTAGGCACTGTCACCAGGGCTGGGGACAAGGCCTGGGCATCAGTGTCACCTTCTAGAAACCTTACTCAGGTTAAGGATAGGTTGAGTGGGATAGGATGTAGCTACTTCTCTCCAAACTGGGGTACCCCAAGATAGAGATCCGTGGGGAAGTATCCCTGCTACACTGCCTAGCCTTGGTTCCTCCTGCTGTGGGACCAGCCTTCCCCTTCAACTCATACCTAGGCTGTGAGCCCCACCAGGCTTGGGCAGTGCCAACACTTCAGTGCGCTTCCAGGGCAGCGTGTTGATAACGAGGAGGCCCTTAGGACCTGGCTCCCCAGCACATAAGGCTGCGGCTGCAGCATTGAGCAGCGTATTGCCATGGGAATGGATGTCTGAGGAGAGATGGGTTTGATCATGGGTGGGCAATGGGTGGAGAGCAGTGGGACTGCTTTGAATTCAGGTCAGCCTCACCTTCATAGTAGTTCATGGCATCTTCTGCCACCAGCTGAATGCAGCTTCCAGTCAACACATCATGAAACTGGTTGAGGAGTAGGAGTCTGTAGGTACCAAAGGCAGAGATGGGGAGGGCAGTCAAAGAGAGGGTGGGAAGTCAGGTAAGCAGCAGAGACATCTATCTGACTGACCTCCAGAGGTGCTGCAACTGGGCTGCTGGGTATAGGAAGTGGGCACTGCGGGCTAGGGCCAGGCTGCTCAGCATCTCCACGTCATGAAGGATTTGCTCACATTCCCGATTCCTCTTCTTGAGCTGTGCCCAGGGAGGGAGAATCAGCTTGGAGTCTGCTGTGGTCCAGGATACTTTCCAAACCTCTCTGCTGCTCAGAACCCTTGACAGCCTCCCAAGGCCTCCTGGACATGGCCTCTCATAGGAAACTTTTCCCAAGTGGCCTCCCAGCAGAACCTTCCTCCAGAGAGGCTGTCCCACCTCCTGCCTGTGTATGGGATTAACCCAGCTATTGTACCTCTCTTTTTCAAACCTCTACTTGGTAGGAGGAGCCACCTCTGCCCTCCCTACCCCCCTTTCCCCACAGCCCTACACAGACCAAGGCCCTCTGTTTGCTAGGCTGGGGGACTGGCCCTGACCTGGGCATGGGTAGTGTAGGTGCCATTGTGTAGTTCCAGGAAGAGTTCCCCAACCCACGTACACAGCTGGACCGAGTCTCTCTCCAGTGCTGTGAAGAGCTGCCCAGGAGAAGACAGCTGCACCCTGAGGAAGATCACAGGCCTGGGCTCCCAGTTGGGAGCCCTATAGTTTGCCCTTCCTCTACAGTGCAGACCAGAGGGCCCCAACAGAAAGGACACGCCCTAGAAAATTCCCTATAGATAGTGCTGTGCTCAGGTGGGGTCAAGCCCCTTCCGACATCAGAATTTCCCTCTACCCAACCCCCAGAGTAGGAGTTTGGAAGATTGATGGGCCAGGATATGAAAGATACAAGGTCCAGTGGAAGGATTGAGCTTGATACATAAACAATGGGCAGACTCAGGGCAAGGGCTTTAGGATGGGGCTACATGAAGGTGGCTTGAGAGCCAAGGGCTGATGTTGGCTCAGGCCTGACCTGGGCAGCCCATCAGTGTTGCCCAACCGCTTCAGGCGATCCAGCATGGTCTGTGTGGGGCCACCACCCCCATCTCCGAAGCCGAAGAGGAAGCCACTGTGGTTGGTCCGCCCCTTGTCCCTATTGTTGGTCACCGTCTTCAGCACCTAGATGGACAGGGACAGGTCAGTCCAGGACAGGACACCCAGCCCTCTCTGTCTCCCTGACTCCCCAGCATTATATGTCACCTCACCTCTTCCACACTGCCCTGCATTCCATACGAGTCTCCAGGTGGGAAGTGGACCAGCACTCGGGAGCCATCCAGCCCCTCCCAGA